TGTCCCCTCCTTCCCCCACTGCCCTTCCCCCACTTAATTTACCCTTTTCTGTAATGCCACATGATGCATCATGCTCCCTTTTCATTCAATTCATTTTACTTGTGAAAGGTGAAATTCTATTCGGTTGCCTCTGATTGAAGTGAAATGAAATACCCTAATATTTACTTTAATTTCAAAATACATTTAAACTTCTCACCTACGACAAGTATAACTTGTCGATCTTTCATTAATTTTTATCAGATCTCTCCGAAGCTTGTGAAAGATCACGAGTCGCTGAAGTATATTTAATTTAAGTTCTATTATGTATCGTATCATAGAGTTTAATGTAAATGCTCCCATCATTTTATTGGATATAATTTAACATAATGTGACTCTAGACAAACCTAGTCAATTTAAGAAAATTATATACCTTGTTCTGATTTCGATGGGCCTATACCTGAGTGAACGATATTGGCTATAATATTGTTCGGTCCCTTGCAAGTCCATGGCTATTGTGAAAATAAGTTGTGGGTTGAATAATCGTTTTGACATGTCCTAATGAAACATTAGGTGACTTCCTATCATTCTACAAGTACACACCCATTACATTTTGTTAAAATACAAAAATTGAAAATTAGGATTTTTTTAGAGGTTAAAAAATTCAAAGTGTAACACAAGATTTGGATTCTTTTTTCAAAATGAAAAAGGAAGTGTCTTATGCTCAAGGCCGATCAGAGTCGAAATGGAGAAGTTATTAGCCCTCAAATAACGATGGGCGGATTGCCATGGCGAAATTGGTCCAAATTGAACGTTCGAGGGGTGCATTTTGTTCGTCTCGGCGAGATACGGCCCTGTAACCCTTTGGGTTACGGGCGAAAACTGCCGTCAGAATTGACCTCCGACGCACCGTTTGGCCGCTAGGGGCGATTGAACACTTTATTGAACATTTGAACATAACTCTGCTATTTCGATTCCAATCGTCTTGGAACATAAAACTTTTTCGTTTTCTTTTGTCATGATGACCCCGAAACAATAATTACCTTTGCATATTTCTCCCGAACTCCGAACCCCCACCTCCTCTCCAACTTACGTACGTAAATACGTAAACCATTCAAAATATCACTTTCGTTCCTTTTCACCGGACACCGGCGAAACTTTTTAAGTCGAGTTCCGCAACTCTAAAACTACTAATTTCACACTCGGTTTGACCATCTGACATTAGGATCACGTGTGAGAAAATCAGAAAGTCACGAAGTGGGCGCGAGGAGCCATTTGCGTGTTCGCGCTCTTTTCCACTCAGTGTAGCCACCACCGAAACAATAAAATCTGAAGCTCCCTCCGGGTGAAAAGGGGCCAAATATTTCAAATTAGTCCGTAGCGAACGAAAAGGGGAGACTGGGTGTCCCTTAAATTATAGATGTTTAGGCAAACTCGCATTCCGTCATCGGTAAAGCCGTTTTCGAGAAAAAGACGAACGTACACACGGACAGACAGACAGACAGACAGACTCACGACCGACACAACGCCTGACCCCTCAGCGACTTGGACTGAGCTTCGCTCAGCGATAAAGGGACGCACACTCCATTCTACTTTTCACTTCCTCAAAGACATGAAAGACGTGACAGACATATCTGCTTCTGTGTCGAACACAATGGCGACAAAATTGGACAGGGTTCAAGTTGTCATTATTGATGAAATTTCAATGGTGAGTGGGCTGCAATTGCAGACTGTGGATAAGAGGCTCAGAGACATCTTTAACGAGCAACTTCCGTTCGGCGGGAGGTCTGTAATTGCAGTCGGAAATTTCATGCAACTCCCGTGTGTCGCTGGTGCTCCTGTTTACAGTACTGACCCGACAAAAACATCAAACAAACACAGAAGAATTTTTGGACAAAACCTTTGGTCGCTCTTCAAAGTTCACCATCTCACACAGATTATGCGGCAAAACAATGTTCAATTTCAGACTGCACTGAACAACGTAGCAAAAGGAAAAACAACAACAGAAGACAAGAACTTATTCGACGAGAGAACGTTCTGTGACGTACTAGAAGAAGCAAGAGTGAAGAGGCCTGTCCGCCTATTTCCGACCAACGCCCAAGTTGACAGCTGGAATGACCAAGAACTTGACAAAATGACTGGGGAAGACTACACAGCCGAGGCCTCTGATGTTGCGATTGGAGACGGCACCAGACATGCGAAAATAAGGGCTACAAACAACGTACGGACACTACGATCACGTGACACAATGAGCCTCAGAAATTCATTGAGACTGAAGGTTTGCGCCAGATACATGGTTACACTAAATATTGACACCCCTGACGGTCTGGTAAATGGAGCCGTCGGTACTCTTATGCGTGTTGACCACGGCGTATCAAGTTCTGGCGCCACCAAACCGTTACGGCTGTGGGTCAAATTTAATCATGACATTGTGAGACTTAACACTCGCCAGCAGAAGAGAAGTTTAATGCAAGCGTTGAACATAGATCCCACATGGACTCCAATTAATCCCATAGCCAAGACCGTACAAAGAAGAGGATTTTTGGCTGTGTCTCGGAAACAATTTCCCTGACTGTTGCTCAAACTATCACAATTCACAAAAGCCAGGGGGCGACTTACGACTGCATTGTGGTACATACCCATGGGAGAATTACAAGAGAAATGATGTATGTTGCATGCTCTCGCGCAACGTCGGCAGAGGGGCTGTTTCGACCCCTGAAAACTAAAAGGTCGTACTTCCGAGGATCCGCGTAATAGGTCGTACTTCGGAGCGGTTGCGTATAGTGTCGGATCTCGCTAGGGTCCCGGAGAATGGTCGTAAGTCAAATTTTTGTCGATTTTGCGAGATGCATATCATTAGAAAGAGATTTTTTTCCTGATTCTAATGAAATGCATCTCGCAAAATCGACAAAAATTAGACTTACGACCATTCTCCGGGACCCTAGCGAGATCCGACACTATACGCAACCGCTCCGAAGTACGACCTTTTACGCGGACCCTCGGAAGTACGACCTTTTAGTTTTCAGGGGTCGGTTTATCGTCGGCAAAATGAAGAACCACAGCCTAGTTGACCCGGCAAGTGAATTGGCTAAGGAACTTGTCCGGCAAGATCAAGAGAGGCTTCTGCCTTCTTTCCGTTTCCTACGCGAGAGCACTTTCAACACGCAGCTATTATATCACAACATTCAAAGTCTCCCTAAACATTTGAAGCTAGTTGTAAATGATGAAGTGTTTACGAAAAGTGATGTGCTCTTGTTTGGGGAGACATGGACGCTTCCAGAAGATGACATTCATTTGCCAGGCTTCGCTGTCGCTTCAAGAATTGACTGTTTGGCGTTGCCAAGAACATACCAGCAACTGATGATAGGAGACTTTAACAGAAATATTCAGCTCTCAAACATGCGGAAAACAATGGATGGATATGCTAATATAGCTAACCTCACTGTGCATGACGGTGACTTTACCACGACTAAAAATCACATAAAAATTGACTTGGTCCCTAGCAACTTCGATCTTCACTCTGGGGCATACCACTCACTGACAAGCCACCACAAACCTCTCTGGGTTGGTCTCTCTCTACGCTATGCTCACTCTCCCACTGGTTTCATTAGGTCTGAGTAAAACTAACAGGTAACATAACCGTCCTCTGCCCTTCCCTGATAACCGAAAAAACAATGTCAGTGATCTAATTTAGTAATTTTTTTCCAGATATCTTCGAGAATGGGAGATAGAGCTTTAAGCCCCATCGCAAAGAAGATGTCTCGCGAGGTAAATACACTCGGGGTGCCTTCTTTATACAGACAATATTCGAATCAAAGCCTTCCTTACATTCTTGCATATTTTTTGGTGGGAAATGAGAGAGAGCTGCCTATCGTGCGTCATTCATGCCGGGCACTCTAGCGACGGGCCCAAATGCGATAAGTGCAGCAACCCTGTTCACGCGGATGGGTGAAGAGTTTCTCGTGGGGATACGTGGCTCTGCCTGGTCTGCGTAGAGCAGGTTTCTTCACAGGAGGTAAACACACAGTATGTTCCAAAACATAACTGTTTAGTGGAGTTCAGTTTAGTTTAATTAATTTTTATTTCTCTCTACAGGAAGATTCACACGAGTTCCAAGAAAGGGCCGAGATAAAGGGCACTTAACGTGAGGAGGTAAATGTATTAAGTAAAGTGGCCTTCTTTGGTAGTTATATAAGTATGCGTTAAATTTTTCATTGGACCCTGGGTGCATTTTTACAGGAGCGCATTGTTGATAACGGGCAAAATAACAACGGTACCGAACCCGCCGAACTCGCCGGAGCTGCCGTGGTCGACGATGGAGCATTGCCGGCCGGTATCGAGGAGGTCAAGCCGACTTCACATCAGCATGTTGATTTTGTACTGTTCCAGAGGACCTAACTTGTTCTTCTTATGTTTATAGGACTTTTCCATGATGATGGAGGATGGACTTCACGAGTCCATTTTAAACATCACCGTAGATTTGGTAAGTTAATCGCACTCCTAAAATTGAAACAGTCTGTCTTTTTATTCTCTGTGTAAATGACTTCACTTTCATTTTTTATGAAGAACGTCGGCGAACAAGCGGGAAATGGCGATGGGCTGGCAGTGGCAAGCTGCAGTAAGGAGGTCGGAGAGGGAGTTTCTAGTTGCAGCCGGCAACAAGCGCTACTCGACAAGCAAGCTCCTAGCTGCAACAGACAACCGCGGGCAAGGCCTCCAGCTCACACCGCTCCACTGGTAAGTCCAATGTTGCCGTGTAACATTTAATATTAGTTGTGAAAAAAAACGAACGTGTAGGTTTTAAAACATTATGTTCTTTCCTCTGTAGGCAAACCGTCACGTTTCTGTTCCGGCGTCTGCTTACTGGACGCTACGGAACAGCGCGGAACGGCATCTCTGCCAGTTAGAGGAGGAGTTGCGCCAGCGGGGCAGCGAGACGCGAGTTGACCGCCATGGGTACGCGCAAGCAAGATCACGGCAGCACAGGGCTCAAGTGGCCTATAATGCGGCTAAAAACATTTTGGACAAGTTAAAAAAACTTGAATAGTGCTGCGTTGTGTAAATTACGATTGTGTATATAAAGTGTGTTGAAATAAGTTAAGTGCGTTAAATAGGTGAAGTGTAACTAGGTAAAGTGTGTCTAGTTAAGTGTATTGTAGCAAGTTTAATGTGTTGAAACAGGTAAACTGTGTTTTAAAAAGTATAGTAAGTGTGAAATATAAGTAGGGTGTATGACAGTAGAACTACACTAAAAAAGTTGTGTGTCATTAACGGGACCCACTAGTTATTTTATTTTATGGACTTATATCTTGATGTCTGCTTTACCATATATGCCGAAGTCAAGGCGTTGCGCTGGGGTTAAACTTTACATTCCTTTTTGCCGCACTTTGATACGACTTCTGGTTTTCGAGAACGATGCCACGTCTGCGGCTGCACTCTATAGCCCGCTATGGGCCGCTATGGGGCGCGCCCAACCGGGCCACGCGCCCGGCTCGACATGCGCGTAGATGTAAGGTTCGTTCTCGAAAACCAGAAGTCGTATAAAAGTGCAGCAGAAAGGAATGTAAAGTTTAAAGTCAGGCGAAAAATCGGACCGCTTTATCTAGGTTGATAGCTCGTCTCCTAGCACGAGAAAATACGGGTTGAAAAAGCTCTTGTGAGCTCGGAAAACAGCCCATTTTGCCAAACGACCCTGCTCGAGTACGAGGCCTTCAATCACATAAGGAACTATACCGTTGTAATCCTCACACTTTCATCTTTATTTTGATGTAATGGCCGATGTACATTGTTTAAGTTGAGTACCCAAGAATGCAATTTTAGTTTACGCTCACACACGCTCCGCCCGGCTGGCGGCGCGCTAGGGGACCAGTGCTCCTAGCGATCCTGGCGGCCGTAAGTTTCAGTCGTCATCCTCATTAAAGACTTATGCGAAAAGGCTCACGACAGCCGGACTTACTAGAACTCGTTATAACTAGCAGAGACACAGAAAAAAACGTCTGGCAGGATACTCACGACGCCCGCGCGAACAAGTACAATGTACGACGAGTTTGGCCGTTTAAACAATTTAAAATGACACTTCACTTCAAATTCTGACCTAAAATAGAAAATACTTCCTAGATATAACCGGCCTGTGTGACTGCGGCCTATCGGCCCGAGCCCGGGCTCTACAGGAAAAACAAACAAACGACAGGAAACAGGACAAGAGGTCCAGAACAGGTAGGCGGTGAAACGCATGCCTGTCTCATTTATTGCCTCTTGAGTTAACAGACTGCGTTGAGGGTTTTCAGGTATGTTCGTTGTTAGGGAGACCACACTGCGTTGAAATTTACCTGGTTTCTATAAGCGCCCATGCTATCGAGAAGCATATCTTCGAGTGTAGATCCTTGTGGTATCACTACATTTTGTCGGTTTACAGAAACTAATGTCTTGAAGGTTCGACGGACTATGATCTCCACCATGCTTTGGTTTGCCTGATGGGTTTCAGCTGCCAGCTCACAGGATGCCTTTCTCTGGTTCCATGTACTGTCCCCCATTCCAGTACATACCCCAACCACAATCGTTGCCTTGTTATCGGCCTCCCATGCAGTGTCATGTTTCTAATTACTACCTACCTAACCATCACCTAAATTATAACACGTCCCACTTGGTCCCCACGGTCCCCATCTCACCCTCCCCCCTCCTCATGTCAACGAATTCCTTCCACCTCTCCATATAATAACACCGACTTTTGCTCAAAACCACCTGTCTTCACTTCCTCCACAAGCAACTCCTCACCTCAACCAGTTCCTCAACCAACCACTTCTATCAGCCCAGCTCCAGACACCATTGTATCAACCTCGATTGCATTAAATTCCTCTCTATTTGCCATTTCCTCTGGACCAGTTCCCTCATCCTCTATTCCTCCTGCTCTACCCGCTTCGCAACTGAATTAAGTACCTCTCAAGTCACCCTTTCCACTAAAACAGTTCCCTCATCCTCTACCCCTCCTGCTGTACCCTCTTCAAAACCTTCACAAATGTCTACCTCTAGTGAAGAAGCCTTTCATGATTCAAATATCAAAAAGAGATGGAGGTCATCTGCAAACACGCCCCCCCCCCCAGCTATAGTATCACTTTCATCTGAGAGTGATGAGGCGGACGGCACTGCTGATAAAAACAAGGAACAAAATGTGAGGAAAAGAAAAACTAATAAGCAAAACAGTAAAAGTAACAGTAAAAGTAAAAACACTACCAACTCGAGAGAAGAGGCGATAATTGGACCCAAAAGTACACCAACCCAACCCAAGGTATTTCATGCAATTAATGTTCGGATCATAATTTATATTTAATGTTGCTCATAATTTTAAAATAGTCATGTGTTCTGAGGTAGTGTCACTGAATTATGTGTAAAATAGCCATCGCATTCTTTTAACAGGGAAATATTGTATTTCAGGTTTCACCTGCAGCTTCAAGGACCAGTAATCGCACCAGCAGCTTAGCCTTCGCCAGAGTCATGTTTCACAACAGCGACCTGGACGAAAAAATGGTAAACAAAGTGTTGTCCCTTATTCGTCAGTTAGGGACTGTTCATTGGAATGATGTGTGTGGGCTCAGTAGTGTAAAGCAACGTTTGAAGGTTTGTACTTACTAGCATAACTTGAGCTGTATACTACAGCTAGTTAAATATTATCAATCCATTTTACGTATCACATTTAGGAAATGGTTGTGTACCCACTACTGAACCCCACCCTGTTCCAAGGTCTGAGAAGGCCGGGAAGGGGACTCCTGCTTTTTGGTCCTCTAGGAAATAGGAAAACTTTAATTGGTAAGGTGTTGTGATGTGAATGCATCGGTGCCTAAGCAGCACTGCAGTGACATGTGTGTGTTCCAGGGAAATGCTTAGCATCTGAAGCTAGAGTCACATTTTTTTCTGTTACGAGCTTTGGCTCAAAATAGTATGGCGAGGCAGAAACCTTAGCCAAGACTTTGTTTGAATGTGCAAAGTAAATAAATTTCTACTCGTACATCACTTTACAAGAAGAGTATGTGATTTTGAAATGCACAAGGTGTTGTAATTAATTCATTGTCTACTCTAATTATTAATTACTAGTCAATCCTAACGACACATTCAAATTGACCCGCTATATTCACTGCCTTCTTGTAACTGCACATAACTGTCCGTTCCTTGATGTCATTGCCATGTCGACTCCCGCCTGGAGTGAGGACCTTAATAAATCTTCACTTCCGCTCCAGCAGCCGTTGTGTGTACTTCGTCTTGTCCTTCGTCCTTATCGTTATCCAATCACATCTATATCCAAATCAATTTAAACCGAACTCATAACAACAGGTTATGGTTCCCAGTTGACACGCTTCCATCGCGCGTTAATTAAATTCAGTGACAAGTGAAATTTTGGACTAGAAAAACTTTGTTAATTGTGTGTGTCTGCAAGGTATCAAGATGGCCAGCGGCAACAGGCGTGGTCTCGCCCGGCAGGACAGCGAGACGCCTCAGAAGAGAAATATTAATGTGTCGGACATACCAAAACTCCGTGGAGTGGAGAATTGGAAAAGCTGGAAATTTCTTCTAAAAATTCATCTGAGACACGTCGACATGCAGCAGTGCCTGGAGGCTCTGCCGCCGCCAAACGTGAGGAACCAACCAGCCTCCTAGGAGATGGTGGACGACCGGGACGCCCACACCATCATTGTGACTACTCTCGAGCCTCATGTATTGGTACACGACCTACCTAAGTTTTGCCAAGGAGGCATGGGATGCCGTTGCCTCGGTGTACGAAGACAAGGTAGTGCACCGCCGGATCAACCTGGTGTATAATTTATTCGACATCAAACACCAAAACTTTGCAACCCGACGTGAGTACGTGATGGCCGTGAAGGAGGCCGTATCCTTCATTGCGGTGACCGGGAAGCCCACGGAGGACGAAATGACTGTAATCTTGTTGCTTCGCAACATGCGACCCGAGATGCGTCAGCTCCGGCAACTCATCGACAGGACCTGTGCTGTGCCGTTAGGAGATGGGGAGGAGCCAACGCTGCAGTTCGCGCAGGTTGTGGAGGAGCTGCTCAAGGCGGCCCGGGTTGAAGAAACGGACGCAGCCAAAGAAGCAGCAAACAAAGACAGTCATAAAGTATTCAAATTTGCTGCTCAGAATTCGCGCCAAGATGGACCCAACATGGCGGCCCCCACAGGGCAGCACTGGCGTAGAGGCCGTGGCAATCGTGGAGGCCGTGGCGGCCGTGGCGGCTACCAGTGGAACCGGAACGAGCAGAGCCCCGCGGGACGCAACCAATATGGCGGCCCAAACAAGCAGCAGACGACGTCGACGGGGACCTCCTGTGAGATCTGCGGGGTGAACACTCACCCCACTAGCAGGTGCTTTCAAGGTCCCTTCCCGCCGTGTCATCACTGCAAGAGGACAAACCACGACCAGAAGGACTGCCGTAGTGCTCCAGCAAGTGGTGACAGTGGTGTTAGTGCAAAGAAATTTAAAATAAATGGTGATGGCCCCAAGGGCCCCAACAAGTGGGAGGTTAAGAAAACAAGTGTAGCAAACATGGCAGGGTTGGTGAGAATATTATTGTAGTGTGCAATGGAAATAAATCCTTGGAAATGTATGTGGATAGTGCTTGTTCAAAAACAATGACTAATGACCCAACTTGTCTCCAAAATTACTGTGAAATCAGAAATGAATCCATTTTATGTGCTGCTGGTCAAACTCTCTACACCAAGGGGAAGGGAGATATACATATTCTATCAGATAAAAATACTAGTTTAGAAGCAATCGATCAAGTAACCCAGTGCGGCATCATCTACAAACAATTATATGAAAGAATAACTATTGTTCTGATGCGAAGGGAGGTTAGCCGGCCTACAGTGGAAATTTCAGTGCTACCAACCTCAACATAGTGACACTGCGTGCAGCCTACAGTGATCTTGATGTTCCGAGGTTGGTCATCCCGCCATAGTGACATTCGGAGCTGCCAACCCCTGCACGGCATCACCAAGGACAACAACAGTGACTTTTCGTGCCGCAATGACCTCCAGAAGCAAGAGTGGTTCGAAGATGGGAGACTTGAATCGGTCGGAGCTGGAAAGCATTATATCTGAAGCAGTCGCGGTGGCCATATTGCCGCTCACGACTCAAATACAAAACCTTTGCGGAGAAGTTGAAAAACTAAAATCTGAGCTAAAAGTGAAAGATGAGGCGATAAATTCGCTGCAAGTAGCGCTAAAATTTAAATGAGATGAACTTGAGCAGTATGGAAGGAGGAATAATATCAGAATTTTCGGATTACCAGAAAATAAAAATGAAGACACGGACAAACTAGTAATTGACGTTGCCAAACGTAGATCTGGAGTTGTCAAGTATTGGCAGATCGCACCGTGTGGGAATCACAAGATGCACAACACTGCGCCCGATTCTTGTCAAATTCACCAGCTATGCCACAAGGAAACAAATATTCTAGTCAAAGAAACTTCTGAAAAATTTGAGAATGGCGATACGGGAGGACATCACTCGTGAGAGACTCTCCCTGCTGAAGAAGGCAATTGAGCTACACGAAAAGAAATGTTTGGTCCAGTGACGGTGTTATCAAGATCAGGGTTGGGACCGAGGGGTTAGACTGTCCAGGCCAAAAGTCAAGTTGCAGGTATCGTCGCTCCCCGGGTCGGAATCGATTCTAGGGACAAAACTAAGGTTTACGTGTCTCAGGG